TGACGCTCCCCTGGGGCCAGTCTACTTTGCTCCCAGTTTTCAGATATTCAATTTCAGGAAAGCTGCCTTTCTGTCCTGTGGGTTTTCAGGTCGGTCTGGATGACCCCAGAACCCCCATCTCAGTTAGGAAAGAAACATGTTATCTGGAAGCACATTTTGCCCTCTGCCAGACTTGTTACCACCCACAGTCCAGACAAATTCAGAAACGGCCGGGGCAAAGAGTGGAAAAGATTGCACACACCATCTGGAGTATGGTGGTGAGTGTCTTCTTCAGATGCTTCCGAGGATAACCAATGCCCCACCCACCCCAATATGTCGCTGCGGTTCTCCAGACTCATTCAGGATGCTCAGCCTGTCACAGGATATCCCCCTCAATGACTGTGCCCTTAAGTCTTCACTGAGCCTAAGTAACAAAAGTGACAGTGACTTTACTAATGGGACATTCCAAAAGATGCTTTATTTTAAAACACCCTTGGAAATGTTTATGAAGTCCTGGTGGCGCAGTGGTTAAGAGCTCAGGTTGCTAACCCAAAGGTTGGCAGTTTGAATCTATCAGCCGCTCCTTGGAAACCCTATAGGGCAGTTCTACTCTGTCCTATAGACTCACTGTGAGTTGGAATTGACCCGATGGCAACAGGTTTGGTTTTGGGTTTGGGAAATGTTTAGAGTTTCTTTTTATTAACAAATTATCTGAAATGCACTTCTCAGTCACTTTCCTGGCCTAATTAAAACGTCCATGGAGAGACAGTTCATTGGATATGGGAGTAAGTGGGCTTTAAGTAAGCAATGGAGTCCCTGGGTGGTGCAAATGGTTAAAGCTCTCGGCTGCTTACCAAAAGTTTAGAGGTTCAAATCCACCCAGAGGTGCCTCAGAAGAAAGGCCTGGCAAACTACTTCCGAAAACTCAGCCTTTGAAAACCCTATGGAGCACAGATCTACTCTGACACACATGGAGTTAAGTAAGAAGTAAGTTTTATGAGTCATTTCCTGTTACATTGTCTCCAACAGTTGGCTTGTGTTGGTTTGCACAAACATTGTCATTAAAGACAAGGTTCACTCCCCTTATGTCATTTGAGCAATGTGCCCACATCCCACTGCAACCACCCGCTGAAGAGCCAAGCGGGCTGCACAGGGCCCAGCCTGACATCGGGTGGGCTTCCTTTGGCCCGAGGAGTGTTCCAGAAAAGTCAAGTTGATTGTCACATTTCAAAATCAGCAGATTTCACATAAAAATCTAGATTTCTACCTTCTCTTGGAAAATGGGAAGATTTAGCCTTCACATGCCTGGCGTTCCTCCGAAGTAACCTTCAGCTGGAGGGGGCACTGGGCCCCTCGTATGGGGCACTGCTCGACAGCTCACTGAAGTCCGTAGCACAGACTA